GAGATTGACTATCAAACTGACAATGACGACATAGATGAGGATGATCTTCAGACTCAAAGCCTTCCGAATGACGTTCCCGGAGAAATAGAGGTTTATTACACGAGTGATGACTCCGATGACGACGAAGAAGACAATCTTCCTCTTGCCATTAGAAGAGAAAATTTACTGAAGAGTCAAAATAAAACAAAGGAATCTGACTGGACGGAAGAAACTACTGACATTATTATGACATCTAAAACAGGTTACGAGGGTCGTCTGGATAATATGAAAGAACAAATCCGAGGTAAATATCCTATAGAAATATTTGAGAAATTTTTCGACAATGAAATTATTGAATATATTACACAGCAGACAAATTTATATGCCGCTCAAAATAATAACCATCAATTTCATGTAACGCAGGAAGATATAAAAATATTTCTGGCTATTTTACTTTTTACCGGATACCATAGATTACCACGAGAGCGCAACTATTGGTGTTTAGATGAGGATCTTCATATTCCCTTCGTGGCTAATGCAATTTCAAGGAACCGTTTCCAAGAAATTAAAAAATACCTACATTTGGCAGATAATTCGAAAATTGATACAAGGGACAAAATATATAAAGTGTGGCCTCTCATGAACAAACTAAATAAAAAATTTCAACAATTTGGCATATTCCACAAAGACTTATCAATTGATGAAGCGATGATAAAGTATTTTGGGCATCACTCATCTAAACAGTTCATAAGGGGAAAGCCAGTAAGATTCGGGTACAAGGACTGAATGCTTTGTAGTTCAACTGGTTATTGCTACAATGTTGACATATATTGTGGAGCATCAGTGGATAAACCAAAAGTCGCGGCGTTGCCTTTATGATCACAAGTTGTTCTAAAAATGCTTGATGTCGTTGATGTGCCTACTGATCACGAAGTATTTTTTGACAATTATTTTACTAGTTACAATTTGATGGAAACTTTAAAAGAGAATGGCTTTAGAGCAACAGGCACAGCAAGAGAAAATCGTATAAAAAAATGTCCTTTGTTACCTTCCGCTGTAATTAAAAAGAAGAATCGTGGATATTTCGAATATCGCTTTGACAAGACAAGTCTACTACTTTTTGTAAAATGGAACGACAACAATGTTGTCACAATGGCATCAAATTACGATAGTATTGAACCACTTTCAAAAGTAAACCGTTGGAGTGCTATTGCCAAACAAAAAATTGATGTACCCCAACCACATATTTTCTCATCATACAATACTTCAATGGGCGATGTTGATCTCTTTGACCAATCGGTTAATAACTATCGAGTCAGTATACAAGGTAAAAAATGGTGGTGGCCCATTTTTACCCACATGCTCAACTCAGCTCTTGTTAACTCGTGGAGGTTACAAATATTTGCTGAAAATAAAGAAATGGATCTTTTGGATTTTCAACGAGAAGTAGTACGTCATTATTTAAGAAGTTTTGAGAAATCTACTTATTCTAAAAGACGACTAGCAGGATCTGTACCAATTAGTCTAAAAATGGATGGAAGCGGTCATTTTTCTAAGAAAATAGACAAACAACTTCGATGTCGCTTATGCCATCAAAGAGTACGTTGGTCTTGTATAAAGTGTGAAGTTACTCTGTGTATTAAACAAGATTGTTTTGTACAATTTCATACTCGTTAGATTACAATACAGGATGTAACCAAGTATGTACCTATATATAAGAAGAAAATAAAATATTTTCATTTTTACACAATGTTTTATATTTTTGACTCCCGATCAGCCCATTGTACTCGTATGAGTACACCTACTTTTTGCTAAAAATTTTAATTTTTTTTGTCAAATAACAATGAATTGTTACTATTTAACCCAGATTCAACAAGGATATTCAAAAAAATCTTGTATTATCGAAAAAAAAATGTCGTGGGATCAAATGGGTTAAGCCTTCGATAAGATCAGACATAACCGCCTTATAGAATAAATTTAAAAGAAAAACTTAGATATCAGAGACATTAGGATCATTAGCGCTATCTATTATAATCAGATCGCTGTGGTAAAAGAGAACAACGTCTTTTCAAATGAAGTACAGATTGAGAGGGGCATCAGGCAGGGCTGTGTCTTGTCTCCTACTTTGTTCAATTTGTATTCAGAGGAAATAATCCAGAAAGCACTAAAAGAACTAACTATGGGAATCAAAGGAAGTGGCAGAAATAATATACTGTTTGCCGACGTACGATTTTAGTAGCGGAATGTCTTGAGTATTTACAATAAATGGTTGACAAAGTGGTAGAAGCCAGTGGAGTAAACTAACTGCCCCTAAACACAAAAAATATACAATTTATGGTATTTACAAAAGCCCATACAAGAAAACATAAAAATACATGAAGAACAAATTAAAAAAGTTGAAAAATGTAAATATCTGGGTACAATAATTAACGAAAATAATGAGTACAAAGAAGAGATTAAGCAAAAATAGGACAAGCAAGAAATTCTTTCAGCGAACTGAAAAAAGTACTCTGCAGCAGGGCTATTTCAATTTCTTTAAAAATAAAACTTCTGAGATGCTACGTATTTTCCTTATTATTTTATGGGTTGAAGGCTTCGACTTTAAAGAAATATGTTTCGGTCAGATTACATGTCTTCGAGTTATGGGCCTACAGAAGGACATTAAGAATAAGTTGGGTGAATAGAGTTACGAATATCGAGGTGTTAAGAAGAATGGGAAAATATAAAGAGGTTTCAAATACAATAAAAGTCAGAAACTGCAATATCTGAGACATGTTATGAGGGACAATACAGGGTAGAAGGAGTCGCGGAAGAAGACGCATCTCCTGGTTAAACAATTTGAGAGCTTGGTTTAACAACTGCACTTCTGCTGACCTCTTTAGAGCAGCGGTATCGAAAATGTGAATTGCCATGATGGTTGCCCACCTTCTTAGAGGAGATGACACATGAAGAAGAAGATTTAAGATTCCAAAGTTGCCCCCTACCACACCCGAGAAAATAAAGGTAATAAATGGTGTTTGGTGTCATTCGATAGATTTTTAAAAAATATTAAAAACGTGTTTTTCAATTTTTCAATTCAATTTAAATTTCGCGAAATATTCGACCGTTCCGCTTCTTTTATCATACCCTATATAATAATCCTATATTAATGAAATGTAAGTGCTAGTAAACGTAATATTCAAGGTTAGTCTCAGGCTCCGATGTCATATTTTTATGACAAGTCCCGAGAAGGAATTGAAAGCTAGATATACTCAACGTAGTTCAACACAGAAGCTATCAATACTGTTAATTTTTGACTAAAATATATATTAACTGCTTGCCAAATTCATTCAACTGTAGTAAGTATTAATGTTACTATTAAGAAAAACAACCTAATGTCATTTTGGAAACCATATTATAATTTTTCTTCTTGATATGACAAATTTTGCAGCTTATCCAAAATACGCAAATAAACTCCTCCATAACAAATCATGAGTCCAATATGTAATGTGAAACTAAAGGTACCAATAAGATAAAATAAACAAAAGTTTAAACGAACAAAAAAATAGGAGTCTAATAAATGTTGGGTTTGAATTTGAATATCTCATTAAAATTTGTCTGTATAAATTTTTGTTATAAATTTTTATTATATTTCCTAGTTTTGTTTGCATTTTTTGTCTAATTGTTTGCTGAATATGAAGCTATAGACGCTACACAACAAAATTAATCTAAAACTTTATACACATATTGTATTATAAAAAGTGTATGAACATGCCTTTTTATACGTATTTATTTAAATTACTAGTCTAAAAATGTGACAAAAATTGCGATATTATCGTGCAAAAAAAGTAATGCAAATGTAGTAGATATGTCTAGTAGAGATTGGTAGAGTTATATCAGAGAGTGTGCGGTTATTGATCATGGGTTACAAATAGAACCATTGCAACATCGTCTTTGATAAGGTCAGGAAGAAGTAATGACAAAGCATCACCTACAAACCCCACAAAACCATTGGTTCTTAGTGATACCATTCTTAGTACTACCATTAATGAGGTTCTTGGTTAAGATCATATTCTAATGTCCACCCAAAAGCCCCTATATAGAGCTTGTTTTGTTTATAGATATCTGTGTTAGTACATTTACAGAAAATAATGCCAGTCTATTATCCATACCTCTTTGAAACTTTGGCACATATTTTATTATAAATAACTATAAGAAAACCTTTGACAGTATTACCAATTATGGCAATAATTTAATGATTGAAACACTACTCAGTGTGTGACTTATGAATAATAATACTACAGATATAGAAAACAAGTTCTTTGGAATTGTCAGAGGTAAGAAAATAACAAGTCTTAGCATAATATTAATAGAATCTCAATTGGTAGATCGTTAAGACCATTGGTTTTTCATCCCTTTACTTTATTCCGACAAACGAAATACATATTGTATAAAATTCGAATCTGAGTACCTCCTTTGTTCTTATCCTTAGTTTAAGAAACTGGCACAATTTAAAATAGTTTGAGCAACTACTGAAAGAAAAGAAAGGAAGAGATAATAAGCCAAGGTAATTAAAAATATTTCTGATGCTAGAGAAATGATAAGATTGAAAGATTTGAAACTAGTAAGGAGAGATATCGCAAAATAAAATAAAGGAGGGTTAAAAACTCCATCGTTAGTAATGAGACGTCACTAATTATATACATTCTTCACGTTCTCCACTTATCTCCATAGACTGTTTGGTCTACTATATGTGCATTTAATTGTAATATTTGTAAATTGTGAAATTAGTAAGAGTTTAAGAAATATTAGGTGAATTAAGTAAGTAAAAATATGTACTTGTATCATACAAAAATCTATCAAAGACTATTCTACTATTATACCTTAAGGATGGATTCTAAGACTATTTTTATCATATTATATCTGCATCTGGAAATGAATATTTAAACATTTATCACCCAACTATGTAAGGTTCTAGGTATTTTCCTGACCTAACTATTCTAATACATATAATATACCACCTAAGCAGAGGGTATTTTCACCTTTTTGTTCCTGAAACAAAAAAAAAAAGGTTTTTAGTGGGTTTAAAATTTTAAAATTCATTTACTATAATTATTGTTATTTAGTAGAAAGCTGTTTATTATCTATTTAAATACATTGTTTATTATATATTGTTTATTATTTAAATATATTGGTTATTGCTTCGTATATTAAAGCCAATCAGTATTGAACGAGGCGTAAGACAAGGCTGTATACTATCTCCCACCCTCTTTAACGTGTATTCTGAGAATCTATTTAGGGAAGCTGTAAAAGATCAGAAAGGAATTATCATAGGAGGAGAAATAATTAACAATATACGGTACGCCGACGATACTGTGATTCTAGCTGAAAACATCGACGATCTGCAGGAGCTAATCAATAGAGTTGACATAGAATGCACAAATTGGGAACTGTCGATAAATATCGATAAAACTAAATACACGGTGACCAGGAAAGTGGATATCAGCCCAACCCAACTGATATTAAACCAACAACCGCTGCAGAGAGTTCAGAGATTCAAATACCTTGGATGTTGGATTACCCAAAATCTAGATCCATCCTTCGAAATTCGATAAGGAATTGAACAGGCAAGAAACTCATTTCAAAAATGCAAGCCTCTATTATCCAATAACTCATTAAATTTGGAAATCCGTGAAAAGTTTACAAGATGTTACGTGTGGTCTGTACAATTGTATGGATGTGAAACTTGGACGTTAAACGCCGATATCATGAATAAAATCGAGACGTTTGAGATGTGGTTGTATCGAAGGATACTAAAAATTCCATTGACTAGCAGAACCAGAAACGAAGAAGTTCTTCGAAAAATGTGACATCAACGAACTCTATTAAATATTATTAAGAGGCTTAAACTAGAATATCTTGGACATATAATTAGAGGACCAAGATATAAGTTCCTTCGGCTAATTATCAACGATAAAATCGAAGGAAAGAAATGGATAGGACGGAAGAAACTCTCTTGATTGAGGAATTTGCGGCAGTGGACAGATTTGACAGCGGACCAATTGCTACACGTAGCGCAAGACCGAAATCAGTATAACAATATTATAAGCCGACGTTCCGTAGGGATATGGCAATTTTATTCATGAGTTTTTAGGATGGCCAATAGTAGTGTAAGTTTAAAATTGCGACTAGATTCCGACATTGCGTTATCCGCCATCTTGATTTTAAAACCGCTATTTTGAACTTTTAGACAAAAAGGGTAGGAACTGAAATTGCTGCAAATGCGATTTCCTACAATTTCTCTTTTACAAATTCTTTTGTGCGGTTGATATTTTCTGAGTTAAGGGGAAATAGTGGAGGAATGAGAGGAAGCGTAATTATCGAATTATTTTGTTTATTGTTAACTTTACGACACGAATGTACTCAAGCAAAAATGGAGAGAATTATATTTTGTACAACTTTGATTTCTTTAAGGTAATTTCTTTGATATTTAAGGTGATAGGTTCGTTCTGTTTATGGCTTGCTGCTGATGACATCATTGTCTAGGGTTCGTTAGATTTAGTACCTTAAATGTAGCATAAAAAATCAAAGAAATCTAAATTGGATAAAATATAGTTCTCTCCATTTTTGTTTATGTATATGTATTTTCGTAAGACTCTAGTCGTCAGAGATGAAAATGCTAATGAACCTCTAAAAATTATACGAACAAGCTGAATTTTGTTGAAAATTCAGCTTCAGTTTTGCTAAGGTACATTTATGTCGTAAATTAAATATTAAGCCAGATAATTCAATAATTATGCTTTCCTCCCCTTTCCAATATTTTCTCGCATAACTCGGAATATATCTACCGCAAAACAAATTTGCAAAGCAGATATTGTAGGAAAACGCATTTAAAACAATATTAGTACTATCATCATGTCTTCTTCTTCTTAGAGTGCCTATCCGTTCCAAACGTTGGCGATCATTCTGGCTATGATGATTTTGTTGGTTGCTATACGAAATAGCTGTGTTGAGGTCTTTCTATACCATGCTCTCAGGTTAGCAAGCCAGGATATTCTTCTTCGTCTTGGGGCTATTTTTCCTTCAATTTTACCCTGTAAAATCCATTGGAGTAGCTCGTATCTGCCTTGATTTCTCATTATATGTCCCAAGTACTCCAGCTTACGGCTCTTCACAATATTGACCAAATCCGCGGTTGTGTTCATACTCCGCAGTACTTCTTCATTGGTGACTTTGTCTGTATATGGTATCTTCAGGATTCTTCTGGATAACCATAATTCAAACGCCTGAAGTTTTGATAGAGTTTCCGCCTTCAATGTCCACGTTTCTACTCCATACAGAAGCACTGAGTACACGTAACATTTAAGGAGCCTTATTTTTGTTTTCAGGGTGAAGTCATGGTTTTTGAACACAGAGCTCATTACCAAAAACTTGCACTTTTGGCCTTTCCGATGCGACATTTAATCTCTTGGGTATTGATCCACGACTCATTGATTATAGTTCCCAAGTAATTGTATTGTGAGACACGTTTAATTCTCATTTGGTTCACATACAGATTTGCTCCAGTTATATTTTGCTTGCTGATGATCATTAGCTTGATTTTGCTGTTGTTTATATCCAGTCCATAGGTTCTACTTGTTTCTGTTATTTTGTTCATTAAGTTTTTCAGCTTTTCTATGGTATTGGAAAACACTATTGTATCATCTGCATACCGCAGGTTATTCAGCTTGACTCCATGTATTGAAATGCCTTCATCAATATCTTTTAGGGCCTCTTCTCAAAAATGTGCTCCGAGTACATATTGAATATCAGTGGTGAAATTATGCACCCCTGTCTCACTCCTCTTAAGATTTTGACCTGTTCCGTATATTCTCCATCTATTCGGAGTACCGCTGATTGATTCCAATACAGATTAGCTATAATTTTTAAGTCTCTTCCATTAATCCCTGTCGTCTTCAGCACTTCCATTATTTGTTCATGCCTGACTCTATCGAAAGCCTTCTTGTAGTCAATCAGGCATGCAAAAACATTACAGCTAACATCTTTACATTTCTGAAACAAGATCTGCACGCTAAATAAAGCTTCCCTCGTACCAACGGCGTTCACAAATCCAAACTGATTGGGCGCAACTTGTTCCTTGCATTTTCGGTAAATTCTTTTGTGGATGACCTTTAAAAACAGCTTCAGCAGATGGCTCATTAGGCTTATTGTCCTATAATCTTCACAAACTTTTGCTTCTGGTTTTTTGGGTAATGGTACGAACTCCGATTTGAGCCACTCTACTGGTATTTTTCCTGCCTTGTATATTTCATTAAATATATCAGTTATTATTTTTATTTGTTCTTTGTTTTTATTATTGTGTCGAAAAGTTAAAATGGCCAAGATATTGGACAAAACCAATTCCTATATGATTAATCCACTCCAAATCTTATGCTCGCGCACCTTTACCATATACATACTACCTCAAATATTGATTTTAGCAAAAAAATTAAAGAGATCGAAATTGTATAAACAATTTGTGTGCACAAAAAAATGTGTAAAAATAAATTGTAGGAAATCATATTTGGAACAACTTAGTATGTGAAATTGAGAAAAAAACTATTCCCCATTTTCACATTCAAACTCAAGGTTTGAACGGTTCGTTCGTTGACGTATTCAGTCGCAATTTTAAATTTACATTACTACTGACTCCCCCCCCCCCTGCAAGGTTAGGTCTTTTTTTGACCAACCTTTTTTTTATAAAGTCTTTTTAATAATTGAAAAAATGTCATTGAAAAATCTAGTCCAAGTCGATTTTTTACTTTTTTTATAGTTTCGAATAAATCCCCAGTATACATTAAAAAAGTTATTTTCAGTAAGTTTAATGATGTCTATTACGAGTTATCCTCTGATTAGGGTGTATTGGGCCCGAAAAACTAAAGCAGAATGTATAAGTAACCTTGTGCGAAGGGATAAATATGTTTGTATACGAAAGAATCTGAAGGTTGTGTATGATGGTGAAGTAACGAATGAAGAAAAGAACACCAACAAGTTTTGGAAAGTAGAACCTCTGATCAGGTCAGTTCAAACAGGTTGTTAGCTGAATCTAAAGCCTCAAGTAATAGCTATAGATGAACACATGATTTTTTCTGGAGATATTGTCCAGCCAGACAAGTAATCAAAACAAAGCCCAATCCACGTGGGTTGAAAAATTTTGTCGTTGCTGCTTCAGATGGACTGCGACTGGATTTTTTCTTTTTCCAGGGAAAAGGTACATTTCAAACTTCTAGATGTTGGTGGTGAAGCTGTGTTAAAGCTTCTGAGTACGTTTCCTCCTAGGGTTTCAGTTTATATGGATAGGTATTTTAATTCTAAACATCTTTTAGATTTATTATATTCAGAAACAGAAGCTACAGGTACTGACACTTTGAAACAAATAAGAATACCCAAGAACTCCGAGCTAAGAAGTGATACTGATTTGAAAAAACAAGGTAGGGGGGCAATTGATGAGAGTATAAGATCAGACGTGCAAGTGTCTGTTGTAAAATGATTTGACAATAAAGCCGTAATTTGGATGTTAAATAGGGAGGGCTCACAACCTGTCCTGTAGAAGGTGGTGTAAAATACAAAATAGGTTCATTGAAGTCAACAGGCCTCTGATAGTTAAGGTTTAAAATGCCAATATGGAAAGCATTGACTTCTTAGACAGAATGATAAGTTATTACAGGACTTCTGAGTGAACTAGGAAATGGACAGTCAGAGTTATCATGCATATGTTTGACTTAGCAATTTCAGCATCATGGATCGAATACCGACTAGATCAATGACTTTTAGGAACACACAGGAACACAAAGAAGCAATCCAGGGTATCTCACCCTCCAGATTTTCTCCGTAAAAAGCACAATTTGCATTTACCAGAAATTTCAACTCCAGTCAATAAGAATAGATGCCGAATGCCAGGATGTTCACCAACTCAGCCAGAATCAGGTGTTCTACATGTCAGGTATTCATTTGCATCCAAGAAAATAGAAACTGCTTCAAGCTATACCATGAACTATGACCAGTGCGTCAACTCAGGCAGAATCTATGTGCTACATGTCAGATGTTCCTCTGCCTTCAAGAAAACCGAAACAGCATCAAGGTTGTGAATGAACTGACACAAGTGCACTATCTACCGGTTATTTTTTATCATATTTTATTACTTAATAACTGACTGCAACGAGCTTCAAAGACTCATGCAAAGCATACACACAGCAAGTCAAGAATATGGTTTAGAACTTAATACAACCAAAACTAAATGCATGCTCATCAGCAGAACACAACAACCTCCGATGCAATTGACATTAAACAACCGAAAAATAGAACAAGTGGAGACATACACACCTTGGAACCACAGTCAACACAAAATGGGACCAGTCAACAGAAATAAGATCACGAATTGAAAAAGCGCGAAACGCGTTCAACAATGAAAAAGTGTTTCACAAGCAAAAACTCAATGGAACTAAAATAAAGACTGGTCAAGTGTTATGTCTTCCCGGTCTTGTTCTATGGAGCAGAGGCATAGACCACAACGGAAGCCACCCTGAAGAAACTAGAATCCTTTGAGCTGTGGATATATCGCCGTATTCTTCGGATATCCTGGACAGACCACATCAATAACGTGGAAGTAATGCAGAGAATAGGCAAAAGCAAAGAAATAATCTTCACCGTAAAGAAACGGAAGCTTGAGTACTTCGGATATGTCATGAGGCATACTAAGTACCGGCTGCTACAGTTAATAGTCCAAGGAAGAATCGACAGTAGGAGGGGACCGGAAAGAAGACGACACTCATGGATGCATAACCTGCGACAATGTTTAGGACTAACATCGACCGAACTGTTCAGAGGTGCCGTAAACAAAGTCAAAATAGCCTTGTTAATAGCCAACGTCCGAAACGGATAGGGCAAAGGAAGAAGAATAAATGATATAACTAATGTTGTGCATAAAACACAAATTGCTTTTAAGTATTTTTGATTATCTTGAAACCCAATGTCGCCCATAAGAGATATTGGATTTTAAAGATGGCTGCCAATTTTATTATTATTTTTTTCTTATCTTGATGTCTAATGTAACATAAAACACAGCGAAATATATAAATTAAACAATAAAAAATGTCCTGGGACTGAGGAAGTATAAAGTCATAACCTAAGTACGTTTTTTTTTTTTGTTTTATAAACGTGTTATTTTTATTACAGCTTTTATAACAATATTAGTTTTGAATGAAATTTAAATATTTAAAAAAGAGAAAAATACTCACCTAATCGATCGGTTCCTCTTCGTATTTCTTCTGGCAAGGGTAATAAGAGAGCTATCCTCTGGCAGGGTGAGATGGGTTTCAGAATGATCTTGTCCCCCCATAAGGGGGGCGACTTCCAGACTAAAAGACCCAGCCCTGCTGCCTCCGCCTCCGAGATGCCCGGCCATGTCCATCAGGCAGTCGAAAAATGATGCTTTCTGTTTCGGTACAAATAACTTTTAGGTACTTTAAGCGTTTCAAAACTAACCAAAAAACTTCCTTTTTTTAAACAATTAGTAAGATCAGAAGGATTTCTAATCATTTAACTTACTAAGTAAAGAAAGCTGTCTATGAAATTATCTAGAAAAAGACTTCCAGAACGATTCGATGGTCTAGCTCAGAAAGGAATGCTCAACTATAAAAATCATGCACTATAATTTTTAAATCAATTATAGTAGTAACACTTGAAGACTAAAAATAGTGCTAATGTGAAAAACTCTAGTAAAAAAACTTATTCGTCTTAAAATTTATCTAGAACTATACAAAAAGTGTATTTACATGCCTTTATATTTGAAATTTACAATTTGGCAAATTTATCAATATGTTTTTAACTCACTAAATAAAACAGATCCATCCAAACTTTTCCTAGATTTGATACCTGTTTTTTTCTGTGGCGTTGATTTGATTGAGATCTATTTGTTCCTTTGTTAATTTATTAATTTTAGTTTATGTGTTTTAAATATTTATTTTTACTCTGAGTATATAATGTACAGACTGTTGAGCATATTAGAAACAAAAAGTCGTTAGACATTCAGCAATTTTATCGATCTTGTTAAATAATATTTATTTCTCATTTTGTTGATGATTCTACAGGTTTTAATGTAGAATTATTTCTTCTATTGTATATTAAGTTAATAGCTAATTTGTATTGACTTAGTTTAAAATATATTCAATAGCTATTATAGTTTAATTAAAGATTAAACAACTTTTTTTTTCTTCTTCAGCTGCAAAGATGTTGTGTTGAACCATGTTCTGAGGTTCTTTAATCAGGATATTCTTTTTCTTCCTGGACCTCGCTTTTCAAATATTTTTCGTTGCAGGATAGCTTGTAAGAAGGTACATTTGGATTCATTTTGTATAATATGTTCAAAGTACTGTAGCTTTCGAGATTTAATGCTAGTCAGTACTGCTCGGTTCTTCTTATTCTTCTGAGGACCTCCCTCCTCATTTGTGGCTCATTCAGTCGACGAGATCCTAAATATTCTCCGATATAGCCAAATTTCAAATGCTTTAAATCTTCTGCACATATCTTCGTTAAAGGTCTATGATTTAACACCATAAAACAGAACAGAGAAGATGTAGTATCGCAACATTTTTACTTTCGCACATTCTATACTTATTCTGGTGCCGAGGTACTTATAGTTCGTCAGTTTTCTACTTGAATTTGGTTGATGTAGCATTTTGTTACCTTTTTCTTTCTAATTATCATGAACTTTGTCTTTTTTACGTTTATATTGAGTCCATATTATTGACTGACATAAATTATTTTGTTCATAAGGACTTTAAATTTTTCAAAATTCTTCGCAAATGCGCGGTTTAAACAGTATTTGTTTAGTGTTTTAATTTCGTGAAAAGCTTCGCTAAATATATTTTCAGAATAGAGATTAAAGATTAGAGAAGAGAAAATACAGCCTTGCGTCACCTCATGCATCATTTTTAGGTATTTGGTATGTTCACCTTCAATTCTGAGATTTTCTGACTGATTTCAGTAAAGTTTTCCAAATATTTTTTGTTCGTGGTTGTTAATTCCTGGTTCTTTTAGTATTTGCATCATCTTGGCAAACTGTTTTCGATCAAACGCTTTCTCAAAATGAACGAGGTTTTCGTATACATCACAATTGCCTGACGATTGACTTTGTAAAATAATAAGACTTTGTATAATAATAACAAGTACTGAAAACAAAGCAGGTCTCATAACAATACATTTATGAACCCAAACTGGTTGGGGAAAATTAGATAGATTTCCAGCAAGCATATGATTCGACAAAAAGAAGCAGACTGTACCTAGTAATGCTAGAAATGTGATTACCAAGAAACGTAGTGGAGCTAACTGAAATGTGAGTGACATACTCGTATGCAGAGATAAAGATAGTCAACAGAACATCGATGCCATTTATTTTAATATCAAGACTCAAACAACTTAGACAACGTCGTTATCACCGTTATTATTCAATTTGGCCTTGGAGTATGAAATTAGAAAAGTATTGTCTTAGCTGAAAGGGGTATTTACGAATTGAGGATCAAAACTATTGTTTCTTTTCTAGTGATGTGGATGTAGTCGCGCATTCTACAAGAGTAGAATACACGAAACAGGTAGCCTGGGTCTTCGAATAAATGAATAGAAGACGAAATACCTGCTGGTAACCATAAATCCAAGACTAAGTGGAAAGATTTCTGATCAGAACGCTGTGGAACTAGATTTGAATCTTGATGATGCACCTTGCAAAATTTTGGGTTTAAAATGGGATTAAAAAACGGATCATTTAAAAATGGATATAAATATCACTACTAAAAAAGATCTGATTACAAAAATTCAAATACTTTTATACATTAGTTCTTGTTTTGACGCGCTAGCTTTGATAATCATTTTAATTTCGAAAAGAATACTCTTAGTACAAGAACTATGGCAGATGAATGTTTCATGGGATGAACCGCTACTTAGTTTACGCATAATAAGCAAGTGGGAAAAATTTAGTGAAAATGTGGCAAATCGCTTATATAAAAATTCAGCGTTTCGTCTTTTTTTGACTTAGACAGTCTTAGAATTAATTTACATTGATGTAGTGATGCAAGTCAAGTTGCATATAGCGCATATATCTATATAGTAGCTCTATACGTTAATAATTCCTTGTCATCAAATCTTGTTGTCGCAAAATTGTGAATGATAGGATTAAACATCTCGCTAACAATTGTAATACGCTGGTTTCGAATAATGTGGCTAATATTCAGAGTCTTAGGAAAAATCTAAAGTGGAGACATATTAAATCACAATTAAATTCTCCGGATCTCTTGTATCGTGGTGTATTTAATCAAAAAACATTTCCGTTTTGATTTCAAGGACTTGAGTTTTTGCTAAATCCCAAAATACATTTTGATCAATTTTATACCTTTGAACAAATTGAAAATTTACCGAAAGTAAAGAAATTAGCTCTATTAGTTTGCTACCAAATAATTGATGTTTGAAAATGGTCATGTTGTTTGTTTGCTTAATAAAAAGGAACCTTATAGACCTATACACAGTGGTCCTTAAACTGTTTTCATTTCTGCAATAAACATCAATTTGCGTCGACGATATTATTATTATTTAATGGGATCAAATATGTTAAATGCATTATTAAAAAATGCATTGTATGTTATAGATTCAACGCACAAGCCGAATCAAAACTTATGTCCTAACTCCCAGTGAATAGAGTAAGAATCTCACGCACTTTTTACAAAGTTGGGGGTAGATTTGTAGGTACTCTGTTAAGTACGACTTGTAGAATACTCGAAGGCCTGAACACTTAAATTTTATTTTTCAGTTTCTTTTTCTTGAAGTGCTATCTCCGCTTCGGAGGTTGGCAATCATCATAGCTATTTTAATTTTTAAGGCTCTAGCTCTAAATAGTTGTTTTGAGCTGCATCCAAACCATTCTCTCAGGTTTTTAAGCTATGAAATTCGTCTTTGTTTGCATGGCTATAAAAGCCATTCATTTAGAGTTTATTAGTGAGTTAGATTAGATTGGATTAAGAATGGTGACCTTTGGGCCTATTCCACTGCGACCTTTTCAGATCTATTGTGGTCTTCTCTAGCCTGACTCTTTTTATAAAGTCTAGTAGCTTTGAGACTGTAACTTTTATGTAGCTATTTGCCGGTGAATTTTCTTCTCCTAATGCAAAGAACCGCACATTTGCCAGACTGTCACACTGACATATATTGTGCTCTGCATTAGTGAGTCACTCTCTAACGCATTTTTGGCAACGTTTAAAAGATTTATTTCTTGCCGAGGTAATCCCCACACTATATATAATGACAACGATATCCAATTGGTTGGTGCCAATAATCAACTAAAGAAATTAAGTAATTTCTTTAAATCAAATTCCAAATTTGACCTAATTAAAACTTATTCAGCTCAAAACGAAATTCAGTGGAAGTTTATTCTTCCTGGATCACCCCATTAAGGTGAACTCTGGGAGTCAGCGATAAAAAGTACCAAGTTTCATGTAGTTCGCTTAATGAGTAATTCATTGTTGACTCTTGAGGAGTTATATACCGTTTTAATTCATATATACCCTAATGATTTAGACCCTTCTGGATACAATACTAACTTACTCCTAAGCATTTCATAATCGATCTCCCTTAACCGCATTTCCTAGATTGATATTTCTAATACAGCTGTTAACAGACTGTCGGGAAAAAAATTTCAAAAATACAGCAATCCTTTTGAAAACGTTGGTCGGTTGAATATTTAAGCTTACAGTATCATCCAAAATGGATCCTTTTCACTACAGATATAAAAATACATCATCTAGTTCTAAAATATACCTCCGTTACGGTGGACCCTAGCAAGAGTGGTAGATCCAATTAGTAGCAAAGATAGAAAAGTTAGAATTGTTTGTGTTCGTACTGAAGATGAAGGATATATTTACTCTGTCATTAATCTGATTCCTCTTACATTGTTTAGTTTAGGATATTTTTAGCTAAAGAAATACTTCATCTAGCCGCTTGCCAACCAGTTTCAAATTGCAAGCATGCAACCATTGCAACCATCCAAAGGATTACCAGCTATGGAGAAATTGAAACAGAAGAAAGTGTACATCAAGTATAAAGAGCAAATAGATTATAAGCATGCCTGAATAACTTTGTATGGCGTAACTGACACATTGGCGTTTAGGTACAATCAAGAAATACCAGTACACATACACATGAGAAATAAGACATAGCCAAAACACGAAAGATACTGGAAATAAGAATACTCAAAATGTAATTTACAGCGTATAAACGAGTAGATACTAACCAAAAAAAAAGAATGAAACAATCACATCAGTAGAATGATAAAAAAATTCTTAAAATAACAAGGGACAAATTACCAACTGGTAGAAGAATTGTCTACTAACCGCACAAAAAATGGAGCAGCAATCTACCATAGACGCAAGATCTTACAAATAAACAAGCAAA